CCTTCGCGTCCACCCATAACCCCACCACTGCCAACCCCACCACTAACCCACGTCCCTCAGCACCACCTCTGCCCGTCTGTTAAATCCCTCCAGGGATGGCGACTCCACCACCTCCCTGGGCAGCCCATTCCAACGCGTGACAACCGTTTCAGTGAAGAACTTTTTCCTAACATCCACCCTAAACCTCACCTGGTGCAACTTGAGGCCATTTCCTCTTGCCCTATCACTTGTTACTTGGGAGAAGAGACCCACACCCACCTTGCTACAACTTCCTTCCAGGTAGTTGTAGAGAGCGATGAGGTCTCCCCTCAGCCTCCTTTTCTCCAGATTAAACACCCCAGTTCCCTCAGCTGCTCCTCGTAAGACTTGTTCTCCAGACCCTTGACCAGCTTTGTTGCCCTTCTCTGGACATGCTCCAGCACCTCAATGTCTTTCTTGTAGTGAGGGGCCCAAAACTGAACACAGTATTCGAGGTATGGCCTCACCAGTGCTGAGTACAGGGAGAATATCCTTATCATTTATGGAGCTGCTTATGATAGAAACTATCATAATGCATAATGTTAAATTATGCATTTAATATGCGGTTTAATTAAATCCCCTTGCAGGTCTTTAAAAGTAAACTTAAAATACTTTTATTTGGGGAGAAAATGTTCATTGTTTTCTGCCTTTTTGCCCTTATGCAGCTAGAGCAGCGGAAGAAATTGCAATGTGTCTACTACAAACTCTCCATAGTAGATTTTTCAGGAAAGACTGAGTCTTAGCCCTGAGCTTTGTAAAGATCTCGGAGAACATATATAAAATTGATAGAGTTGGTGGAGTTTTCTGTCTTTTTTAATATTAAATAGGATTTACTAATGATTTTATGTTCAGGCTTTAAAGATCAGATCATAAATGACTCTGTAACAGCTAATAAACTAAACTTTTAAGCTCTTGTAGCTAGTTTACTAAATATGAAAATGAATGTTCTGAAATGTGGATCATCAAGCAAGAAGATGATGGTATACAATATAGGAAGTGTTGTTATAGTTAACGAAATTTCGAAGATGTGAAAAGTTTCAATCATTCTGTAGCAAGATAATTTTGACTTTAAGTAACTAAATAAATTGTGCTTGTTTCTGTCACATGGGGCCGGCGGCCTGTAGGGCCCCGAGGTCGGGCCTCTGGGTTCCTCTGAGCGGCTTCTCCGGGGCCTGGGAAGGGGGAAGAAGGTAGCGGAGCGCTTTCCCAAGCAGGGCGAACCGGTCGGCTTCGGGTCAGGGGTGTGCTGAGGAGATCTCTGAGCATCTCTGGGTGGGAGGGTTGGTTGTACGGCTTCGGAGCTGTGCGCTGGGCAGCCTCAGCTGGTGCTGGGCTGGACTGAAGAGACTGAGCATTCTCTTACTTGAGGAAAAAAAACAAACCTTTGTACTGTCAATAACCTCTTCCCACTGAATTTCAGGCCATGCGAAAGATGCTCTCAGTCTTGCCCAGATGCAAGAGCAGACCTTGCAGCTGGAACAGCAAACAAAACTTAAGGTATGTCGGAACTGGTCGTTTGTTGTACGGCCCGCCTGCTGCAGGCAACTGCTGGGGTTTGGGAGGTGCGTAAGTCAAAGTCTCGTTTTCTGGCAATCTGCGGAGGATGCTGAGTTTTTCTTGTTGCTATTCAGCTTCAGCAGATCATAGTTATTTGCCTTTCTTTTAAAAAAAAAAAAAGTAATTGCAGATGGTGAAGTGCAGCTGATTTTGCCTATTCTGAGACATATTTTATGGCTTTGTTTGCAACTAGAGTGTCCAGAGTGGTTTTATAACTCCCTAGAATATTATCATCATTTTTAAGGCATGACAGGGGTTTTCTGCAGGGAACTGTGAAGTATTTGGGTGGAGTACAGACTCTGTTCATTTTATAAAGGAATTTATGGATTGTTTGAATGTTGGTTTGTTTTTGTGGGGTTTAAAAAAAAATTTACTCCTAAAATGACTAATTATGAGATTTCTTAAAATTGTAGTTTAGCTTTCTTGTGTCATTGGCCAACTTTGCAGAGTACCACTCTGATTATAGATGGATCTCTTAGAATATAATGGTCACTAGTGTGTCACTATAGGATGATGCATTGAGCTCATTTGTGATGATTATCTCCCTATCTTAACAGGAGTATGAAGCTGCTATAGAACAACTGAAGAATGAGCAGATACGGGTACAAGCAGAAGAGAGACGAAAAACACTCAGTGAAGAAACGAAACAGCATCAAGCAGTAAGGGAATAAGGGGGAAGCCAAGTGGTGGGAAACCTTGCTTGTGTTTTTCATGGAAAAGGCCACAATGTGTTAATTGCCCTTTTTGGGGGGCAGGGGGAAGGGGAACCAGGGCAGCCATAGATTTGGGGCACTTCACAGACTGAGCCCATCTTCTGCCCTGTCTTTGTAATGTTGAGCTTGATTTGTAGTTACATGCAGCTTTGTCGTCTTGAACTTTTTATACCAAATTCTTGAGCATCCAAAGGGACTGTTAGTAGCAGTTACTAATGTTGTGTGCTCTTTGAAATTTTCCTGAAGGAACTTTCAGGGAAGTGCTATTGAACGTGCTGAGATACGCTTGTTTGTGTCTAACAGCTGATGACATTAAAAGGCTGAAGATTACTGGCTTATCAAGTATACGTGTTAGCCTAGACAATGAAATGTCTCTTAAGTTATTTGGATTTCAGTCTTAAGTAGCCTGCAACTCGATTTCTTCCATGTTTGATATTTTAGACAGGAAAAAAAATACCTTAAGAGGAGAAGGGATGCAAATCTGAGAGTTACCGCAGGCTGTATTGTGAGCAAAGTTGGCGCTTTCTGGTATGTTTTAGCATGAGTTACAGAAGTGGCAGTGGAACTGAAGTTGGGGAGATGTAAGCTAGTTTTTCTGCTAATAGCTCACGTATGGTGACTTTTAATTTGACAGCACAGGAAGTTAGGGGATTGATTAGTTCGAATTGATTGTGTAGCTTTGGAAGGTAGCTAAAACTGCTTATTTGGCACAGGTCGCCTCGTTATCCCATCAAAGTTTGGACTTTGAACGGGGCTGGCTCAGGAAGCAGGCTTCACAGTCATCTGCCCTGTTCATGAGTTAGCTCTTGACTTCTTGCAGTTCACGGGGCATCGTTTGAAGTCAAAGCAAACTTGATCATGATTTACTTCTGAAGTGCCATGCTTTACAGGTGCTGAGATAACGTGCAAGCGGTTCTGCCTTCTGCATGTTTGGAATAGAGAATAATGTCATCCCTTGCACAGAGTCCTCCTTGCTGATGGATATGGGCCCGCAGGCCACTTTCAGTTGAGTGTAGATGATGTGGGTTTATTTCCCAGTTGCAGTGGAAAATCAAAGAGAAATTAATCTGACAGGCAGCATATCTTGGCAGTTCTATGGCTTGCAATCACCAGTCCAGGTAATGTGTTTTAGAATGTGAAAAACATGCTTTTCCCGGTAAAGCAAGTCTCCTTTACTGGGCCAAAGAGCACTTGTTCTTTGTTTTTATATTGGTGATTCTTTAAAATGAAGTCAGACTATATAGATTTCTCAGTATGGAGGGGGTTTTTGGTGCTGGCTGAGGATATTTTGCCCCAAACTTTGCCCTGTTCATTTTCATACCTGGGATTATTTTTTGGTTTGTGTGGATTTTTTTGTTTTGTTTTGTTTTTTCTCCACCCTGCCTGTTCCAAACCTCATTGCCCTCGGGACTAGGGTCTCTCTTGAATGTCTAATCTTTATATTCTAAATATTCTTTTTTGAAGCGAGCCCAATACCAGGACAAATTGGCAAGGCAGCGCTATGATGAACAGATGCGACAGCAGGTATGATAGCTTCCTCCTCTAACCCAGCTGGGAACCTCATCATAGCTTTCCTAAGTCAAAGTGGTGATGTGGAACTGTGCCCTGTCCTGCTGGCCAGGTGACTGATGCTAGGTGCAGTTGCCTTCATCTGGACTGTTTGCTCAGCATCAACAGCGCTGGCCAGGCAAATCGAAGGTCAGGAATTAGGACAAAGCGTTAGGAGCGTGGGATTAAGAGTGTGAGTCTGGGAGATGGGGAGAGGAAGAATGCGCTTCAACCTAAGCGCTGGCTTCTTGAAAAGATTTGTAGTACTTCGGTTTGCACAAATATCTACTTGACCAAGTTCTTACAACTTTAATGCATCTTCTGCTGTCCCTCTGCCTGCAGCAACTGGCTAATGAAGAGAATCTGAGGAAGCAGGAAGAATCAGTACAGAAGCAGGAAGCCATGAGGCGTGGTAAGCTAGGAATTTTTCTTTAACTGGTAACAGAGTGGGTGGGCAGACGAGTTCTCTGTACTGATTTCTGACTCCTTGTCCATATATTGGTTGATGCTCCATTAGAGTCATGTGTTAATGTCACATTGGCAAGTAATGGGTAAATCCCAGTAGCACTACCAGTTGCTTCCAAGATTAGTTTTAGAAGTGGCTGCACTCCTAAAGGTCTGTGGTACTCAGATTTCCCAATGAACTATCAGCATCTCCTGATACAGCAGCTGAAATTCTGATTTTATACTGGGACAATCTAGAACCAGTTTTAAGGAGGGAAGAGAAACAAAATAGCTCCTGGGAGTTACGATTGAATCTGTGTTACCTAGTTGCCGTTCACTATTTCCTGTAGAAAATAAAAGCTAAGTAACGGTGTTTTAGATTGAAACTTGCTTTGTTTCTTTTCGTTGTTGTGGAATTGCCAGAATCACTGAGTTTGCAGAACTCCAGTGGGATGCCACTAGGGCACAAGTCTTAGAAACGTAAGGCAATTTGTGTATGCCACAGAGGGGTCGGAAGGTTGGTTTGTTCCCTATGCAGATGTGGACCGCAGCGTTGTCTGCTCCTTGCTGCCATCTAGTGTACTCTGTGTTGGTCGGTATCTTTGAGGGACGTATTGGACTGACGAAATAACGAAGCTCAGTGGTGAAACCCTGTGGGATAGGGTGATTTTACTCTTGTAGTATCTGCCTACTCATTGGCACCAAGCTATGTATGTCAAATTAGCCTGTCCAGGTATCAAGATGGGTATCGCGTATGAAGTAGCTGGGTGGTCCAGTCAGGATTTCTTGCAGCGACACTGAAGATAGAGGGTGCTGGCTATGGAGTCCTCATCTCATCTCCTGGGTTGTTCTTAGGTTTCTTATTCATTCTCCATTCATATCAATCTTAATGTGTCTGTCGCAATTCTGTGCGTCTGAAGTAACAGGGCTTCCAAAATCCTGTTGGGGACAGCATTTTACAGGTGACTCAGTTTTGCTGCTCTTCCTTACAAGCAGTGTATGTTACCCTGTGTATAGTTACTTGCCCGGGGCTGTCCTGCATTGTCTGTAGCGTGTCACCCTGCCTCTCAGAAATGATGTCGATGAGCAGCAGCAGTGCCTAGCACTGTTGTTTTTCCCTCTGCTGCTTTATTGCTTATCGTCTAGCTCGTCTCTGACTAAAATTTGCCCTGAGCAATTTTTCTGCTAATGAACTTCCAGAACTGAGGGATGATTATTGTCTTGCAGTGTGCCATCTGGACAAGGCCACCTATTTGGTGTGTGATCCCTCTGAGCACAAAGGGAAAATTCCTTGGCTGTCTTCTGTAATATTGTACTGGTTGGCTGCGTTTTCGGGGAAGGTGGGAGGGAATTAAGATCTTGAAGTCTGCTGCTATGGGACCGTGCACAGCTGTTGCGAAGCCAGGATGAAGCAATGCATCTCTTTCACCTGCCTGCTACCTGGGATTAAGCCAGCCCAAAAGATTTTTGTCCTTTTTTTTTTTTGTTTGTTTTAAGCTACTGTCGAGCGAGAGATGGAGCTGCGGCATAAGAATGAAATGCTGCGTGTCGAGGCAGAAGCAAGAGCCCGTGCCAAGGCTGAGCGGGAGAACGCAGACATCATTCGGGAGCAGATCCGCTTAAAAGCTGCTGAACATCGCCAAACAGTGCTAGAGTCCCTCAAGTACGTGCGGGCCAGGAGAAGGGCATGAGTTGCCTTGGTGCTTTTGCAGATTTCTCCCATTGTGTAGGAAACCTTGCTGTTCATTCCTCTAAGCTCTGAGGGATATCAAAAGTTAGTTTGTACCCTCTTGTACTCTAAACAATAGGAATTGTATTAAAGAGAACCCTCTATTTTGCCTTGTCTTGCTACGTTGTCATCTGACTGTGAACCAAAGAGACTATTTAGAGTTGTGAATTTTATACAGTTTAGCAGATTATTTCAAGGCTTATTTGCTAGGACTGAGACTCATTTACTCTGAAAGCTCTCAGAGTTCTTTCAGTTTCTGAACATATGCCATGAAGGTATAAAGCAGTCTGTCTCCAAAGGGATTGGCATTTGGATTTGTAGTTTGTCAATTTGGGTGCATTGAGATTTTGAATAAAAAAAGCTTTAGAATTAAATACCTTTTATTACAGTTCAGCACCAATAATGTATTAAAGAAAGAAATTGATATTATGTTAATGCCAAAAGCTTTTCTGGATTTAATCCCAGATCAGGGGTAGACATCAGACTGTAAATGTATTTGCCATGCTTGTTCATATTTCAGTTCCCAGGTGAGCCCTCAATTAGCTTTGGTTCTGAAGAAGATCATTATAAAGTTGTCTTGTGAAGTGTTTCAATTCAGTCTTTGAAATCCCTTTCTCTTCTCCTGCTTGCCTTGCTGTTTGCTTACCATAGGACAGCTGGGATGCTTTTTGGGGAAGGATTCCGTGCCTTTGTAACAGACTGGGATAAAGTTACGGCCACGGTAAGATTGTGACATGTATCAATAACTTCCAGGAAAGTCTGTCTGTGAACATGTATTAAACTAACTTCTTGCTCTGATATGTTTATAAACTGTAAACCATGGCGGGAATTTGCTGCTCATATAGTGCTCTCTGCAGTGCTCATCTAAGGAGATACTGTGCTTCAAATTTTTATTCAAATCATTTATCGTCTTCTCTGTATAGGTAATGTGTTTCTCATTGATCACATAAAAGTTCTGGCTTTGATTGATCAGCAGCATATAATTGTCTTGTCTTTGGAGGCACCATCACCTTTCCAAACATGTTGCCTGAAAGTTTGCCAGATGTTACAAGTAATAGATGCAGATTCTGAGAAAAAAGTAGATGTTTTTCACAGATTAGGTTTTTTTCCCACAGATTGTTCTTGAATTTGCTGTCTCTTGTGTATATAGGGGAGTAGGGGGTTTATAGCCAGTTGGAGATAACTCCAGATTTTTTGCTTTGAGATCTTGAATGCAGTTTTGTTTGACTAGGCTCTGAGCTGACTAGTTTTCCTTCTTTTTTAATGATTGATGTTCATTGTACTTCCATGATGCATGAACATCTATAAATGTTTATAGGTAAACAGAGCATTATGAAATGTTTAGTGCTGCTGTTACAGGACTTCTTTGCCAGTGGTGGGTTTTGGGAACAGAGATCTAATCCCTGTTTTCCCCCACCTGCAATGTCTCTTGTACGTTTGCACTTAAACTACAAACTGGAAATGTCTTTTTAGATATGTTAGGGAAAGTATGTTGGAGATGTGTAATAGCTGATCTGATGGGCACAAAAGGGCTTTGTTCCCTTTAAACGAGTGGTCTCAAAAAAAAAAAAAGTATCTGAGAACACTCCCCTGGAAAACAGTAAGAGATGCATCATGAAAGTTTAGTTTATTTTGGTTTTAAATTACAATATTAAAGTACATGATTTTCAGGCCACGGAGAATTTCTTCAGTGTTCCCTTTTTGCATACGTTCTGTCTCTGAGCTGCAATTTCTTCCCACCGAGTTAGCTGCCAAGAACTTGCCTGCTGCTCTCATCCCAGGCGGAGAGCAGGCTGTCAGCGATCAGGGAGTCTGAGGGTACCATTTGCATCTATAAAGGAGCACTCCTAGTCTCTGGAACTTCAAGACTTTGCAGGACATGATCTAAAACACGCTTTGCTGCTTATCTCACAACTTTATATCTAATTTTGATGTAGCCTAGAGACCACTTAGAGAACTGGTATGTATGCTAAATAAGTTGATTAAAAGCTGGACCGACATCTTTTCACAGGAGAAAAGAGCATGGCAGTGGCTTCTTACGGGCATAAAGTTGTTTCTCAGTGTACTACTTACAACAAAACTTTACAGTGAAAATATATTTTTAGTAGCATGGCTTGTTAAAATGGAGGTTTTGCTTTAAGTAAGTCACCACCATCTGCTCCACCCTCTGGTTTTATCCACACAGGCTAATACAAAAGACACTTTGGTTGAGTGCACTGGGCAGAACAAGACATGCTTTTAGGGGATCCTTTTGTAATCCGTAGGCTGTACCTGGAATGCCTGCAGGATTCAGAGCCTTTTGCAAATTAGTGCTTGGTGCTTTTAGCTGCATATTCTTTTGACCCAGATACTGGTTTCCTGCATTATGGTCATTTTTGCTTCTGACAAGCTCTTGTCGTGTGAATTTGGGACATTTAGCTTAAAAAAAAAGAAGTATATTTTTGGAAAGGAGATAACACAGCTGGAACTTGTATTTTCTGTTGCTTTGAAAAATGACTATAAGGTAAGAATTAGCCAGTTATTTTAGGGTTCCTCTAAATTAGCCCTGGATTTTCAGCTTTTCCTGCCTGCTGTAAGGTCTGCCCTCTCCCTACCTCTTCCCATCCACGCAACCCCAAAGGTTCTGCTCAAAGTTTTTTTTGGTTTCTTGTTTTTTTTTTTAATGGAACTAGCTTTGCTTATCAGTCAGAGATTCATTCCTTTGCTAGATGCTTAATGATAAACAGATAGGCACTGTAATCAGCCTGATTTGTGGAGTTCGCTTAGTAATTGGGTTCTTCTGTGAATGTGAGTCAAGTAATTTTCCTCTTTTCATACATAGCCGTCGCTCTTAAAGCTGTATCTCTCTGTATCTTGTAACACGAGAGTCAGTGAAGTCCGAAAGTCTGAAATACTTCTCCCTGCCTGCATGGATCTGATGTATCAACCTGTAACTTTGCTTAGTACTGGATGTTGCTAAAGCAGTTGGTGTAAGAGTGCACGAGATCACCTGCCGTGGCACCTTGTTTTTAGGGGGAGGCTGCTGAAAAGGCAGAGTCTCTCTTGTGTTCTGAAGTCCCTGTAAACTCAGATGAATCCCGTGTGGCAGTCATCTTATTCTTTGCATCTTAGAACTTGCAGTTCTGAACCCTTCATGTTACCGTCCAAAGCAAAGGTGATGTCACACGTTTAAGCAGAGAGAAACTGAACAGATGGTGTCTCATGGTTTATTGAACAATGCCATCCTTGTTGTCCTTGAGGCTTTTGACCTTGTTCTGTGCTTGTAGTAGAAGTCTGCTTGCTTTAAAAGCGATTGCTGCAGCTTGCTCTTTTGTCTATCTGGGCTTGCTCTGATATGAATTAGTGGCATCTAGCTGTAAGCTGAACACAACTGATTACTTGCACTCAGAACTGCCTGGAACAGTTGGCCTCTTCCCAAACACCTCTCAGTTTAAAAGTAATGCCCCTTGTTCCCTTCTGTTTTCAGGTGAATAGGACTTTTGGTAAACTGACTTGTTTGCATATGGGCAAACAGATGGAACTGGAGGCTTATGTTTGCAATATCAGTAAAGTTTTATAAAAGTTATCAATGCTATCAGTCTCTGAGAATTAAGGAAACAATCCTATACGTGCTGAAGATTTCTGTAAAGCCTTGTTTTCAATTCTTGTCCTGAAGTGTTATTCTTGGCAACCTCCTGGAGTGTCTTTAGGATTGTCAGCACAGCTCCTTGTCTATTCTGACAGCTAGCTACGGTGGAAAAAGCTGCCTGCAGGGCTCTTGGTTT